TAGAAGTTAAAAGAAAAAACTGTCTTTTCTATTTGTGTGGTACACTTGAAGACCAGCATCCACATGCACAGGTAAATGAAGCACAGTGCACAGCAGATGACACAGATTTCCCAAGTACAAAGCCTATCGATGAAACTTTGTTTAAACAAGTGAGTGATGAATGTCAGAGGCTTACAACAGAAAATATAAGTCTACGGGACAAAGTACAGGAAGCAAAGATTAGTGAAGATTCTTTCAAAGATGACAAAAAAGTGAACTATTACACTGGTCTTCCAGGTTTTCTAACATTAATGTCATTATTTGAGTTTCTGATGTCAGACATCCCAGACGGCAACAGGTCTTCATTGACAAAGTTTCAGAAGTTGATTCTTGTTCTGATGAGACTTAGACTTAACCTGCCAGTGCAGGACTTGACGTACAGATTTGATGTATCTCAAGCGACAATATCAAGGGCATTTTTAAGCGTCATCCATGTCATGTTCATCAAACTGAAATATTTCATTTACTGGCCTCAAAGGGAACAATTAAGAATGACTATGCCAATGGAATTTAGAAAATGTTATGGACTTAAAGTGGCTGTAATCATTGATTGCTTTGAGATTTTTATCGAAAGACCATCAAATTTATTGGCTCGAGCAATGATCTGGTCATCATACAAACATCACAATACTGTCAAGTACTTAATTGGAATAACACCTCAAGGGTCCATTTCCTTTCTTTCACAAGCATGGGGTGGACGTCCTAGTGACAAACACATAACAGAACATTGTGGACTTCTAAAAAATCTTCTACCAGGTGACTTCATTCTTGCTGATCGAGGATTTGATATTCAAGAAAGTGTTGGTGTCATGCGTTACGAAGTGAAGGTGCCAAGTTTCACCAAAGGAAAGTCACAACTACCAGCATTTGAGGTTGAACAGTCTCGAAACATTGCCCATTTAAGAATACATGTGGAAAGAGTTATTGGACTTGTTAGAAACAAATACACAATATTGTCAGATACTGTGCCTATTGACTTTTTGTTGAGTCCCCAAAATGATGTGCCTGCTGTTGACAAGATTGTAACAGTGTGTTGCACCTTGACTAACTTGTGCGAATCAGTTGTACCATTTGACTAAATTGAATTACATTGTAGTTTATTGTATGGTTTATATAATGATTATTATGTTGCAAAGCGAATGCAATCGTGTATACGATTGCATATTTATTTTTGTATGTACTGGATGTATTATAATAGCATCATTGCAATGATATTAACATTTATGCAATCCTGAATAGAGGCAATTGTTTCTTTAATTCATTAAAAAGTGAAACCTTTAAACTTTGTCTTTTTTTCTTTGCATATAGTTTGTGATCAGGATCAAAGAAAATCTGTCAAGCTTGTTTTGTTCTGGTGATGACAATTACAGGAAATCCACAAATTTTATTTGTTCTGTTGATCATGTTCTGGAAGGATGGCACATTTAAATAATTCCTCAGCCTTTGGTGTTACGGTATTCCAAAATTCCTCATCAGGCTCTATGTTTCATAATAATGATATATAACCATGATCAAATGTATGATCTTTCAATTTGTTTGTTAAGTACTTAGATGACATTCAATTTGGTCTTTTCTTTTGATCATGATCAATGAAACCTTTCAATTTGTTCAGTGGTAGATGATATTGAGTTTATTTTCTTTTGATCATGATCAAATGAAATCTTTCAAGTCCTTTGTTAATGGGCAAGGGTGATCATCAAACTTACAATATCAAATAACGAAAGAAATGCCAATAAAAAAAACCCACAGACAACTCAAAAATTACACATCAATAACATCTGTCATACTGGCTACCGACATTGAACTTTTTGAAAGATAAAATAAGGAAAATAATTGTTGGCAAGTAATTTTATTCAAACTTTAAACTTGATAATATACAACGTAATTATCATAATTATAATAATAAATGATCACGATCAATTTAAACATACACAGAGATCGAGATCGAGATATATATATATATAGAAAAAATAAAATTAACGACCGACTAAAAAACTAGCTGCTTTCACCCTTCACAGGGCTCTTCAGGTTTATTCAAAAGAGAACAACGTCGTGACGTCACAATTACATGTCATCACACTACAATAGTAACGTGACGTCACGAAGTACACAAGATTGGTGGACAATTTGGCGTAAAATTTTATTGTGGCCTGTTGAGACTCGGTTTTAATATTTTTATTAGTTGGTCTTCTTTCGTTTCTCTTAAAATAGTGTCTGATGAAAATAGTTGATACAAAGGTAATACATTAAATTTATCTCCAGCACATTCATGAATATGTTTGTTAACATGAAGATTTCGTAAAGAATCAGTTCTAGTTTGTTGTCTATGTACAGTCATACGTGTTCTGAGTTCATTACCGGTTTGACCGATGTAAAAATCACCACATTTAGAACAAACGATTGCATAAATTACATTTTTTGATTTACAATTCATATTTACCTTCACAGTAAATTTCAAACCATTCTTGAAAATAAAAGTATTACACTCGATAATCATAGGACATGTAGCACATCTTGGTGTCTTACATTTGGATACTTTTGGTGTTACACAAGAATTATCAAACTTAGAACATGTCAACATACGTTTCAAGTTTTTAGGTTGGCGTCTACAGTGTAAAATAGCATGTTTATTAAAAATGTTTCTCATACGCCTGCTACTTTGCTTTAACTCTTCACATTTGTTCTTTATCACAGGAAACATATTACAATTCCGTGGATTGAAAGTAGAAACAAAAGGAACTAACTTTGATTCATCCTTTAGTTTTTGTAGACGGGAAGTAAAGGGTCCCTTTTCAATAGCTTTCTGTATACCATGTTCTATTATCTCAGTAGGATAACATTGAGCTTTAAGGTATTGCTTTAGTTGACTTAGTCTAGCAATTTGAGCTTGTTGGTCACTGACGATAGTGACAATCCGTGAGGCAAGATTAAATGGAATATTAACTTTAGTGTGTTTACTGTGGTTAGAGTAAAAATTTAGATAATTATGTGCATCTGTAGCTTTACAATATAAATCCGTTGTAATCTTATTTGAATCTAGTTGAACTAAAACATCTAAGAAAGGTAAAGACGTTTCGCTACACTCCATCGTATAACAAATAGAAGGATGTAAAGAATTCAATAGGTTTTGAAATTCATTTAAATCCTTATCAGAAGGCCATATAACAAAACAATCGTCAAGGAACCTTAAAAAATTATTTCTGATAAATTCAGTAAAGTTTTCCCCAAACTTTGTCTCAATCTTAGAATAAAGTGTTTCCTCTAAGTATCCTAAAACTAAGGTTGCATATGTAGGGGCAACTTTAGTTCCCATCGCTGTACCCTTAATCTGTTGAAAGTATTCTTGCTCAAAATAAAAAGAATTACGATTGAGGACAATGTCTAGAGCTTGCAGTATAAATTCATTACTAAAACGAGAATTAACTTTTTCTCGTTTTTTGATCAACCAATATTTAACAGCTTCAATACCAAGATCATGCGGTATATTAGTGTATAAACTAACAACATCAAAAGAAACAAGTTTAGCATTATGTGGGACCTGTTTAGATAAACGGCTCAGAAAATCAAAATCATCTTTGATATAACTGTTTACACTTGTGCATAAAGGTTTAAGAATGAGGTCTACAAGATGACTCAAACGTTGCGTTGCACTATTAGGGCCGCCTACTATGGGTCTAAACTTCAAATCCGTAGGATTTTCAACTTCAATATATGTACAGTTTTGTTCTTCTATAGCTTTACTTATAATAGAGCTTTTGTGGATTTTAGGCAAACCATAGAAATAACTAGTTTTATGCATAAAATTGACAAGATAATCTATCTCCTTTTCATGTAGGCATGCTTCATGTGTCCGTGTTAGCTCGTTGATTAATCTACGGGTTTCCGCATCGAAATCGTCACTTGCCGAAGCATAAAATTCAACATTACTAAGCATGTTATGTATGCATTCATAATAGAAATCTCTATTCATGACCACTACTGCATTACCTTTATCAGCCTCTTTGATAATAATAGAGGTATCATTTCTTAAAGAATCCAAAGCACATTTCTGTCTGTAAGACAGATTACTTTTTACGTGTTTATGATTATCATTATGTAAAGGAATCTTTTTTAAACTATCAATGACGTCTTCTAAATGTTTGTCCGAACTTCTTGGTGGGTTCCATTGCGAATTGTTATGGACTAACGCCGTTGTTTCCAACGGTTTGCTTTCACCGTCTTCGTCACAAAACTTATCGCATAGACGAAGTCTTCTGCAGAATTTCAGAATGTCCGCCTGAAGTTCTTCATTATCGTTTTTATCTGGTGTTGGACAAAATTTAAGACCCTTCGATAGCAAATCAATTTCANCTGGAGATAAATTTAATGTATTACCTTTGTATCAACTATTTTCATCAGACACTATTTTAAGAGAAACGAAAGAAGACCAACTAATAAAAATATTAAAACCGAGTCTCAACAGGCCACAATAAAATTTTACGCCAAATTGTCCACCAATCTTGTGTACTTCGTGACGTCACGTTACTATTGTAGTGTGATGACATGTAATTGTGACGTCACGACGTTGTTCTCTTTTGAATAAACCTGAAGAGCCCTGTGAAGGGTGAAAGCAGCTAGTTTTTTAGTCGGTCGTTAATTTTATTTTTTCTATATTTACTTCCTTCACATGGACATTTAATCACTTTTTATTATATATATATATAAAGCAGTGATAAAGCTACATGCGAGTCCCGAGTCCTATACTCACAGAATTTTTATGGGACTCACAGAATTTCTTGAAATACTTGAATTTAATATTGTGGGACTCATTGTTTTTAGCAATACAGTTGAAAAGGACTCGTAAAAATGAATTGTTGATTAATCACTGAAAAAGTTATAAACAGTATACTGATGAATCAAATATCAATTTTAAGTCTTAAGCATACATGTATAAATTTAAATATAATAATTATCAAGAATACACCAAAAGACATTTCTATTTCTGAAATGTCAAAGATACCCATACACTGACTAGCTAGCATTATCAATAATAGTGTATGGAAATATACCTGTACAAATATTCATGCATTACATATCTTAAAAATGCAAATATTAAAAAAATATTTAAAGAACCTTTAAACTTTTATGCATTAGTACATAGAAATGAACTTCTTTAATTTATTTTTGCAACTATATGCATGTCCCTGAAGCTTTCATCAACACTGGTAACTTGCTAATGTTCATTTCTTAAACTGTGGAAGTTTCCGACACTGCGGACAGTACCAATTACCCTTGGCATTAGGTGCTCTCTTAATGTTTACACAAGTGAAATGTAACCATACATATGGACAGTTTTGGTTGTCACAACCAACCACAAGGTCAAACTCTGGGTCATATGGTTGTCTGCATATACATATGCAATCTTTTGCTGCGTCATCACCGACTGTTGCTGACTGATTTGTTATGTTAGATGCTGTAGTATCGGTACTCTTTACACTGGACACTGTAGTACCAGTACTCATTCTACTGGACGCTGTTCTACCACTAGGACTTGACACAGAAGGTGCTTTACTGCATGCATTAACTGCTCTGGAATAACATTTTCTGGAAGGATGGCACATTAAAAGAATTCCTCAGCCTTTGGTGTTACAGTATTCTAAAATTCCTCATCAGGCTCTATCCTTTCTATGTGGACCTCTTGTTCCGTCCATACAACAAAGTCACAATACTGTTTGTCGCACACAAAAATCTGGGTCTGCACCTGAGAATAATATGAGTGTTTCTTCTTCAAACGAACACTGCCATCTATGCTCTCTAAGCAGGATGCCTTTATATCTGTTGCTTCTGTAATGGGCATAGACCGGACACAGTATGGACATTTTACTTCAACAAATCCTTCCCCACAACAATCACAGGACACAACAGAATCTGGTGAAGCTCCAATGTATGGGTACTTTGGATTGATGACAAGACCACTCTTACGACATGTGAAGTTATCATGAAATAAATTCATACTTTGACAATAGGTGTCAAGAGCTTTTGCTTCATGTTGACATCCCCATCTTGTTGCGTCTGTGCTGAATTTCGCTTGAGATGGAAAGCAAATCTGTTTTACTAGACTCGGTGATGGTTTGTCGACTGATGTGGCACACACCGACTTCATCTTTGAAGCAGTCACTCTACCAGTCCTAAAACGAAACCACTGCTTGCATCCTGTCTGAAGATGGGTGGTTGACTCTACATTGGTTGCCTGCAAGTCTGAAACTGTAATTGTGAGAAACAACTCCTTGCAGTGATCAAGTAGATCTCCTCTGTTCATATTACTGCATTCTTCTCGAAACAGGTCTGACAATATGGATGGATATTCCTCACCAAGATGTCTTGGAACATAATTAGCAGCATAGTCTGGCATGAGTGCTAATAAAACTTGTTTTGTGCCTGTGTTATGCAATTTACTCTGTGACGGTGATGACACATTTAGCAAGTTTTGCCCTAACATCTGTCTTTTTGGCGTCTTTGGTGAGCACAGTTGTTCATCGAGGTTCCTTTTCAGGGTCTTTGCAGACTGGAAGTCAATGTTCTGTATGGTGTCATATCCCACCTTCTGTATCCTCTTGGTAATAGCCAGTACGCTGGTTCCTGTGTCATAGTCTTTGAATTCCTTATCTTTACTGTAGCATCAACATAAAACAATGCTGCTCCAATGTGACTACATGCTTTCCCTAGCCCTGCCATACAGTTGCAGTGACCTGTGACAATGTTGCCATCCTTCTCACATAAAACCCATGGCTGTAAAGGAGCATCATTCATCCGTTGCGAGTGTTTGACCTAGAATAAGTAAAATATTATATTTAATTACAATTTATCATGACCTTTTACGGATCGATATCACTTCCTACTATAAGTCAATACTCATATCTATTTTGACTACAACTGTATACAGTATATTGGACAAACTGTATACAGTATAGGTATAATCATGTTACTCATAATAAAATTATATATAATTTATAAACAACAAATTGATCCCGGGTACACATCTGTGTTAGGAGTTGTTACAAAACAGCATTTTCAAAGTGAGGTGGTGTGGATGTACATTTAGTGCTTGGAATAATTAATTAACAAAATAATTATTGCAGTGCTGATATACTGTACTCAGAACTTATTTAATATAGCCTCATAGGCATTCTTCACGCCGTAGCTTTTACTGTAAAATAACTATCATATACTTATAAAGTAGAGTAAATTCTTACCCGTGCAGCAACAACAACATAATTGTTTGCTGTAAAATGCAGTAAGTCCTTCACCCATCCACAGACGAAATGGTTGTATGATTCGAGGGACTTGTAGGACTTCATCTCGCTCAGTGTGTAAGCGCTCTGTGTGTGTACAAGGTAGTTCACGATGTCGGGGTAGGTGACTTCAGGTAAGCCCTTCTCATCACTTGACCAATCCTTTTTTGGCACATCGTACGGATCAATGCTGTCTATCAACTGTAGTTTGTTAAAGTACCTTGCTCTGGCAGTAGGGTCTAATGTCTCAATATACTTCAATTTTGCTGCTCGCGGCGGTTTCGACGCCATCTTCTCACCTTTGACATGGTAACCTTGTTTGACACACAAAATGGCGGCGGGTCAATGGGTAACCCGGATGTGTGACGTCATCGAATACTATGTATAGCGGAAGTCACCCCTCCCCTGCTAAGTAGGCAGTCATTTTGTTTTTTCGCAAAACGAATACCGCAGTCGTGCGTTTAGCACCATGCTTCACCTACATACAAAACTTCATCAAAATTGGACGTTATTTAAATTTAGACCAATCAGAGGCCAGGAAATGGCAGCCATTTTGTCGAAATGTGAAACTCGGGCTACGAAAGTGACCGGCGTCCCATGATATACCTACATGTACATACTAAATTTCATGAAAATCACACAATATTGAAATTTTGACCAATCAGAGGCCAGGAAATAACAGCCATTTTGTTTTTTTTACAAAACGAACACCGCAGTTGTGTTCGTAGTGCCATTCTATACCTACATAATACATTTCATCAAAATTGGACGATATTTTAATTTCGACCAATCAGAAGCCTTAGGATATTATTGCTCTAAACAGTATTTTGCTGATTGCTAAAAACCACATTTATAAACAAAAATTAAAAAATAGTAGACCCAATATTGCTTACTTTAAACGAGACCTGGAATACTACATTAGGATAGAACAGGTCATTTATAAAAGGAATATAGCCTACACAAAGTTTGAAAATAAATGGTTCCAAATAGTATAACTCAATTGCCAGTCATGTTTATCGGTATTAGGCATTTTGTACGTGAGTGAATGGATGTATGAAAGTGATATATTATGTGTATAAAATAAAAATAAATCCTTTTTTTGCAATGGGTATGTATTGGTACTTCAGTTGTAATGGAATCTGCGTTCAACAAATACATGTATATGGTCAAATTGAAACATTCTTCTCTCGCATTGATGTAATCCATTGTAAAATTGTGTGGTCGTTGTCATTATATTATGCAAAAAAGTGTCAAATAAAAACAAAATGTTAATAAAAAAGTAAAAATATATCAGAAGCCTGCATTTTACTCCCATTTTGAATCCAAAGTCAATTTCTTTTATCGAAAACGAACGCTGTAACGTTAACATCATTTTCACAGAATTTCATTATGTTCCATCAAATAGGACGAATGCTAATTGTTATTACTGGATATGATTTCGATATTGAAAGGGTTAGGGTTAGGGTTAGGGATTAGGTGCAGATGCACAACTACAAATTGTACTGATTATACATGCAAAGTATGATAAGAATCCCATTAGTAGTTCCTGAGATTAAGCGCGGAAACTTATAATAATAAGTAGAATAAAAATAATAATAATTCGATGTTCTAATATACCGCTTTATCACAACCTAGTTCGTAGGTCGTCTCAAAGCGGTTCACAAATTAGTATACGTGGTTATAGGGCCTTTGCAACAAGCTAATATCTTTCTCAACGCATACAGCCGGTGCTGCCATTTCGGCGCTCACAGCTAGCATTCTACAAGTCTAGCACTGCCCAACCACGTACTCATTTACAGCTGAGTAGACTGGAACAAGCGGAGTTAAGTACCATGCTCAAAGTCAAGATACATCACAGTGCCGTGCCGTGCCGTGCCGTGCCGTGCCGTGCCTCGAACCCGCAAACCTTCGGTCACGAGCCCGGCGTCTTAACACTAGACTACCGCGCCTCTACAATAATTCAAGGTTCTTATATATTGCTTTATCACAACCTAGATGGTACAAATGTAGGTATTCTCATAATGAATTGAAGCTGAATGCATCTACTCTCTCTCTCTCTCTCTCTCTCTCTCTCTCTCTCTCTCTCTATATATATATATATATATGGTATGATGACTGGAGTGAAATATTGAAGTGGCAATATTTCTAAATTTTGTGTAACAAAGCTACCTTTATATAGTGGTCGCTATTTGTAGGTCCCATTCATTATGTCAAATGTTTTTTACTAAGTGCTCATAAGACAACCAGATGTATTGTTGAAAAAGGAATTGGGCAGTTGAAAAGGAGATATCAATTTTTACATAGAGAGGTCAGGCTGAAACCAGATAGTCATTACAGCCTGTGGAATTCTTCATAACATTGCAAAATTGTTAAATATGCCACAGCTAAATGATGATATTGATGATAATTATTATGATGTTAATGATGCTACACATGTAGTCTTTGATGACCCAATTGATGGTATGGTATACAGAAACCACATTGTGTCAACTCACTTCTGATTAAAATACTTATTTCAGTACACATTTTCAATAAAATTAAAAATAGCCAGGAAAAGAATCAATCAATTCATTACTTTAATACTCAGGTTGACTGAACTTCTTGATTTTTAACTCAAGAGGTTTGTTTTACAACTCTAAGTTTATTCATTTCCAGCGCCAGCCTCTCCTGCCTTATGGCATTTTCATCTGGATATGTGGTACCGCTACAGATGGATGAATAAAGAGGTGGCAAGGCTGCAGTGGTGATAGTTGCTCTAGAGCCAATGGAGGTCTTCGGAAAGTCCAGAGCTGATGATCTACAAGCAATAAATATTCTTATAAAGCTCACAAATACTTAAATTTTGACATAAGATAGTTATCTTCAATTTGAAATATATGAAGAAGCTCATCTATCATCAGTACACATACTTAAAACACTGTATATGTATAAAAGGTTTGCTTCATAAGTCTAGATACAGTTGAAATTGAAACTGAAATTGAATACATATAATTTATATTGAATTCATATGACTGTCAATGATGATGATGATGAAGTTGATAGACTGCATGTATGAGTGTAAATATGTATGTACTGTACATCCTGGTTTCATGTATTACATGTATAAAAAAACTTGGAAAATACATAATTGAAATTAGACATATATGTCAAACTGACATTAATGTCACCCTTGTCTTATCTGTAGTGAGTGAAATACAGTATCATTAATTTAAAATACAAGTACTTCTTCGATTTGAAAATGCATTTTTTCAATTACATGTATATTTTTAAATAATTTAAAGAAAAGTGCAAAGCAATATTTGGAAACATCTGTATGTGTTTCTATCCAAATTCATAAGTAAAGATTAATTATCACCATAAAATAGAACAAAACAATCAAAGCATTGTTTCATTTTTACCAATGAATTATCTGAAATTAGCAGTGTGATACGAACATCAATGAAGATATATATATATATACAGGATCTGTCATAGGTCTCCCTTCATATTAGATTTATGATACATGTTTGTGAGGCCTTATATGAAGGGAAACGAATGACAGATTTTTTTTATCATATAATACAAATAAACTGTATAATTGTGATCTGAAACGAATATTTTGCACTTGTCCGCGTCTGAAACGATGAAAATTGCGTCCGCTTCACAATGACATGACGTCACATTGATTTTTCCTATTCGATTGTGACGTCCTTTCCGCAGTGATATTACACACGTTACATAAACATAATTTTAAAAAAAAAAGTATGACGGTCGGGTCCTACGTGACCCAGAAGGAATAGTAAAGGCATGGGGTACCCATTTTTGTAAATTGTTCGAGAACGAACCTAACGAACTGTTCGATGTAGACTTTTTTAATCATGTTCAAGATGATTTACCGAACATGACAGAAAAAGCGAAAACTGATAAAGATGTTTTTCTAGAAAAAGAATTTACTTTTAAAGAGGTTTCTGAAATATGTAAAGGTCTCAAGACAAAAAAAGTCTGGTCGTCCGGACGGTCTTGTGTATGAGCATATTAAATACTGTAACAGTCTAATGATCAAACATATTACATTTTTGATCAATCTCATTGTTAAGTATGGATATATTCCCAAATCATGGAAACTTGGTACAATAATCACCCTGTATAAAGGTAATCGGAAACCAAAAGATGACCCAAACAACTATAGGGGTATAACATTAATTCCTGTGTTTTTCAAGATTTTTGAGACACTCTTGTCCGACCGTTTAAGTCCAGTCCTAGAATCATACACATTTCCGAACAGGCATCAATCAGCATATCGCAAAAAACTGTGTAGTTTATGTACCTCTTTTAATCTACAGGAAAGTGTAAACTATAACCTAGATAATGGATCTGATGTGCTTGTCGCTTTTCTTGATAGCAATAAAGCCTTCGATACTGTATGGCAAGATGGCCTATTCTATAAGCTTTACAATATGGGTATTAAAGGGAAAGTATGGAATATCATGAAACTAATGTATTCTCGATTTACCAGTAATGTTGTTTTTAATGGTCTCAAGTCGGACAATGTAATCATGAAACGGGGAATCTTACAAGGTGGGTCTTTATCCGCAAAACTGTATTTAGTCTTTATTAATGATTTGCTAAATGAAGTGGAATTTAGCGGGAAAGGGGCAATAGTTCTTTCCTCGCGAATAAATATACCTACACAAGCTGATGACATATGTATTATCAGCAATAACGTTAATAGTTTACAGTATCTACTATCTATTTGCGAGAAATACAGTAGAAAGTGGAGATTTACATTTTCCTCTACTAAATCTAAAACTGTTGTTTTTACTTCTAAAAAGAAACCCAATATTAATTGTGATATAACTGTATATGGAAAGAAACTACCAATTGTAGAAAGTATTACTCATGTCGGAGTTTTATTGAATAGTAGAAATAACAATGTCGAACGTACAGAACGTGCTTGTTCCAAATTAAAGAGTGGTGTTATGTCCTTAATTCGTTCTGGAGCACATCCATGTGCTCTGAATCCTTTAACCACTGCAAAAATTGTAAAGTGTAAAGTATATCCCTCAGCACTGTATGGGTGTGAATTGTGGCAATTAAAGCAAAATGAAATTTACATGTTAGAAAAAGCACAAAACTTCATTGTCAAATCAATCCAAGGTTTTAATGTAAGAACAAGAACAGATATGTGCACGTCCTTGATTGGTTGGTTTTCTGTAGAAGTATACATCAGCGTAAAGAAAATGTTATTTTTTGGTAGAATATGTTCCATGGAAGTTGGCTGTTTAACACGCGAAATTCTTATCAAGCGTCTATTCGAATTCAACCTGTCTCAATTTAGTAGAGGTTTTGTTCCCGACATTGTTAATGTTTTACAAAAATACAATTTGTATCATTTTATTGATGAATTTTTGAAGAGTGGTGTATTTCCAAACAAATGTCAATGGAAGCGTTTAGTCAATGACCATGTAAAAAACTATGAACAGTTTAACTTATGTGAAAGAATGAACGCTGATAGGGACTTCTCTCGCTTCACTCTTTTACATAATAAGATACAACCGTATGCTATATGGAAACTTGCTTTACGCTTTCCACAATACAGTCCATGTTTTAAGAAAATTGTTAAACTTTGTGTTGAAATGCGCGATAATGAAAATATATATTTGTGTCATTACTGTGGATCTATGTACAAAGATACTATTATGCATAGTGTACTCGAATGCTCACACACAGAGCTATTACGTGACCAGCTCTGGTGTGTACTCAGTACTGTAAAAGATATAGATTTTGTGTTTAATCTTAATGTAATGTCTAATTACCATCTACCTCATGTTCTTCTCGGTGGTATTTTCAATTATGACTTATCTCCATATGAACTGGAGGACTTTAGAATAAAATCCATTGTTATTATTACTAAAATTCTTCAATACAGTGGCATTATGTAATTTATCCTTAGATATTTGAATGTTGTATACTGAGTAATATGATCACTAATTTACTTGTGTGTACTCATGCTTCAGCAAGATGAATACATGAAATACATATATTTTTGTATTCATATTAGTAGGCAAGCATTTCCTACGTCTTTCCTGTAGATTAGTGGAACTTACTACCATTCATAATATTGTTTGTATTGTATGAATTAATCTTGTGAGATGTATTACTACAACTGAAATCATTGTATGGTTGCGCTGTTTCTTCAAGTTAATTATTATATTGTATGTTGTGTATTTCACACCACTGTATGACTATGTTGTATGACTTCGTGCAACGGGTTCTACTCAATGTATGATTGTATTGTAAGACTTATGTAACAGTAATACTGTCTATAATAATGCTGTATAATTTATAGTGNGTAATAGTACCTATTATATCATTGTGTTGTGTTTATAGTACTTAATGGTATGATGCGTGTACTATTATTATTCTCTTATGTGTGTGTCTGTCCATGTGCATGTGTGAGTCACTATGTCAGGATGTGACCATGATTGTGAATGCATTTTCTTCTCTTTTCAATAGTGTTTTATTCGTTATTTCTGTAACTCTTCATTTCTGGAGGAAATAAAGGAAATAATCATTGTTACATTTTTACCAATAAATTATCTGAAATTAGCAGTGTGATACGAACATCAATGAAGATATATATATATACAGGATCTGTCATAGGCTCCCTTCATGTTAGATTTATGATACATGTTTGTGAGGCCTTATATGAAGGGAAACGAATGACAGATTTTTTTTATCATATAATACAAATAAACTGTATAATTGTGATCTGAAACGAATATTTTGCACTTGTCCGCGTCTGAAACGATGAAAATTGCGTCCGTTTCACAATGACATGACGCCACATTGATTTTTCTTATTCGATTGTGACGTCCTTTCCGCAGTAATATTACACACGTTACATAAACATAATTTATATGATGGCTTTATGACACTGCATGACACAGTATTGATATGATAAATATATATTCATATGTGATGATGTAAGGTCACGTATTAATTTGACATTGACCAATCAAAATGATATTTTCTATTTACTGATGCAGATTTTTTTAAACATCACACTGAAGAACATATATCTCAGACAGTAAAATACCTCACAAAAGAATATATATAGATCTTACTTAACACTCTTTTATAGCACTGAAAAGAAAGCTATATGTGTTTGTTCCTATAAAGGATTCTTTGTGACTAAGAAAACTATAAATTATCAATGTTTCCTTGGTACAATTTGTAATCATTTAAATACTGGATGAATAAATGATCATGGAGACTGGACTGCACATCTTTTTCTCTTTTCTTATGTATCCTAGTTTGCAAAATTAGAATAACTAATGAATACATCAAAAACAGTCCTGCTTTAGTGATAATTTTTGTTAAAACTATCATAATTGTGTAATTTGTTTATTTTTAAATCTGTGACAAAATTTGAAGTCCCTTGTGATAGAAAAAAATATAAAGCTTCATATAGTTTGCTTTCTATACAGAAATATCAGAAAAATTAACAATTTGCATGGTACGCCATCCTAGAAAAACAGGGATTTCACAAAGAACTTTAATATGGATACATGTAACCATAACTATTTATTATTACTATCAATTAACTGTCTGGCAGTGTCTGCATGTAATAGTGTGGAACATTTTCCCGGTGTTGACATATCATAGGACTGGTGCATATACAAGATGTATGTGCTGGTGTCACAGCCTTTCACATATAGTTGATAATCAATAATACCTGGAGACAGCTGAAGGAACTGTGTTGGGGTCTAGTAACATGATCATTGATGTGTCCACTGCCCCCTCAATCCCACAGATGGACACATTGTCCAGGCTAATGACATTCCCAACAGCTTTTGCTATTGGGCTGATCTGTGCACAAGATGGGCAGCCACCAGAAATAGATAAATTACTGTTTATTTATTGGATTATATCCATTATACCATCAACTTGATGTATTTCCAGCAGAAAATATCCATACTGATAGATGAATACCACTGCATGTATCAAAATGAGTGTAAATGGTACATAAAGTATGATACTTAAGGTTCAAACACTCAGCATTTCATGTGTTCACATGGTATATTACAAAACATTTCTAAATGTAGCAAGGTGTATTATTTGATCCAAAAATGAGGGGAGGTGGTGAAAAAAAGTCACAGCTCACTAATATTACGGAATTGATAGAGGTCTGTGCTAATATTCATGCAACACCTTATTTAACGATTATCCACTAGTCTAGATAAGTATACATATAAACTCTATCCAAAGTTGTCGTTGCTTACGCCTTTTTACACACAGTGATATTCTGGCGAACTCATCTGATGTAATTTGTCCATCATGCGCAACGCCGCCATGTTCTGCGAATTGATGACACATGACCATTTGTCACATGATCAGAGGCTATTTATAAGGTAGACGTTGACAGAAAATGTTTTGATTTTGTGCAGGTGTTTGTATGTTACCTTATCGTGCGGAATACTGATCATTACTTTGAACAAATGTGAAATGACTGAGTAGAAGTGTTCTAAATTTAACGAACGTGAGTTACAGCAGACTTGCAATTGCTCAGTGTTTACAAATGACTACATGGCTTATATAATTAATTACCTGTCATCGCCGTCTGCTTCCTGTGGTCCGACAGCTCAGACGTTCCCTTCATATGGAGATTGTGCAATTTCTTTTCAACTACTCGTACCGACCGGCGGAAGCATTGATGGCGTTGGCAATCTGCCTCCTCGTCTAACGCTTCTTCTGGGTCGTCATCCCTGCTTCAAACGTTGTTGCCCTCGACCAATTTTGTGAGATACAGGCATTCATCTGCCGTCCAGTTAGGTTTCCGTTTTTTACTTAGCGTCTCTGAGGCCATGTTTACAGCGACTGGAAGCAGATGATCGAACACGTTCTTTCCCGACGTGCTTTTGTTTGCAAACACAAACTTCGCGGGAATTAGTATAACGCGTCATTGACAACGAGTATTTTAAGGAGATTGCGATCTGCGTTACGAAGAACAACTAAGAATGATGCTTAAAATTGTATGCAACAGAAAGTAAGCAACTTGCTTAGTTAAGCAGGTTAAGTGTTCTTAAGTACAATATATTTATGAAAAATACTTAGAATTTGTATGCATACGAGTCCATAATTAATGCGTTTCGTGAAACGGACTTAACGTAAACGTAAATAAAATCGTAAGTCAATTTACGTCTACGTTTTACGTGTAGTTTTACGACATGAAACTGGGTCCAGATCTTTACAGGGAAATCACTTACTGTCAGTCCAACAACCAAGAGGAACAGATAGTGCACACTTTAATTTATTCTTCGAATATTAATGGCATTAATTTTAACGTTCAGAATATTGTGTTCATCCCCAATATCAGCACATGTTGCAGTATTTTCACGGATATAAATTAAAAACATACGAGGCATTGTTACCAGAATATCGAAATATTGTGAAGGAATTTTTTAACATAGCTTCACACTAAGCGATATGGTGAAAGCACATAATTGTACATTGTGACGTACTAGGTACAACGCAAGCTTTTGAATACAAATGAAAACAGCGTGAGTGTGAAACTAAGTAAAAAATAATACTCATTATACAATAAATATGTTTTTTAAATGTTACTAGTATGCGAACATATCGATAAGGTCATCGTCCTTGATGAACCGGTAGCACACCAGTACTCGGAGAAAAATGTGCTGTTAAACCGAGATAAGTTAGCTTTAATACAACGAATATTCCAAATGGATAATAATAATAATGATACTAATTCGAGGTTCTTATATACCGCTTTTTCACAACCTAGTCCGTAGTCTTCTCAAAGCGGTTTACAAATTATTATCCGTGGTTATAAGGCCTTTGCAACCAGTAAATATCTTTCTCAGCTCCCTTTTCCCTGGGGAGCATACAGCCGGTGCAGCCATTTCGGCGCTCAAAGTTTTACAACCATTCCAAAATATTTTGAGAAATTTTTACATTCGGAAAATAACCGACAGAATCTCATGATTTTTACTTTACTATAAGACAATGTCCCTTCAGAGGGTTTGCAAAACAGTTATAAAAGGTTTGGTTTGGTTTGGTTTAATTTTGTTTAACGTCCTATTAACAGCTAATGTGTTATAGTTGTTTTTAACCGAAAAATGTGTGTAAAAATCAATTCTTGATCTGAATTATTCACAGCTTTTTCACCTTGTTGACCGTTGCATGAAATTACCACCTAGCATAAGAAAAATTGTTTATACAACTTGTTCCATAGAGATAATTTTGCATGATATTTTTGTTTTCCTTTTTTACTCAGGCTTTAAACAATGAAATACATGCATATAGATATTAATGAAATCTCATTTATATATCTGATATTTACGTTTAAAGAAGTTTCTGTTTGAATAACAACAGCGTCATGGTCGTATTAACACCAATATCTATCCCTCTAATAGAACGTATGACGTACCAAAAGGTGAAAATAGGCATCAGTTACCGGTGAAACAATATGCTTACCGAGTCCAATGGGTCTACTAATGTTATCTGTAGCAACTTCATCTGCTTGTCCGATATATCTTCACAAGTTTTGTAGCACTTCTGTAAAAGGATTTTCACATCTGATATATTTCAGGTTCCGTTATGTCATAAAGGTACGGGGCCCACGTAATCTCATATATGTATTTTTTATAAAAATCTCTTATCATCAAGACTTTTTGTAAATACTGAGAAAAACACACATTCCTTGCTCATTCTTAAAATCTACTCACCTAACTTAATATCTATAATTATTCGTCATGAAGTCAAAACATAACCTCAAAGTCAGTGGTGCATTTAAATTTCGTTTCATGACTTCACAATTGGTGATATATGAGCTCAAACGGGAAATGCAAAATAAACGACATGGATGTATAAACGAAACGAAAACATACTGGACGTGGTACATTTGGTTGACAGACGATTAACAATACAATGACGTTCTGCTTTATGCTAGATATTTTGTAACTTCAATCAATCAAATCCACCAATCTATTGAAATCGCTTGTCTACACATGTATAATATTTTTTATGCATGGGGAAACGTCGTTCTTTAAACCATGATTGATAACTCTTATCATGTTCTGTATCTCGTAAGCCAGTACTGGCTGGGCATTTTATAAATCATGCATTATTTTAGTTAACACTATCATGTATGTTTTTTAAAATGTTTGACACGCTAATAAAGTATTTGTTATTATTATTATGTATTCAGCTTTTGAGAAATTTACTAACAAGTCACCTACGCGGAACATCCGCTGAACATTCTCAAACTGAACTTGACAGGTTTTGATAAGATCGAGAGGTGAAATATATTTGTTTTCTTTGTCCGCTACAAATCTTGAAAGACGTATAAAAAAAATGTGAGTACCGTAAACCAGTCATGTGGCTTGCTGGTCCACATTTGCCAGGGAGATTTTTGGAAGAGCGTTTGACTATTGGAAATTATACATACACGCGCATGGTCTATCGTCAAACAATTTACAGTACTTTACAATGAAAAGTGTCGCTACATTGCAAACGTGGTAGAGTTTCTATTAGTATTGAAAACGTAAGAAAGAAAATAAGCATGCAACTCAATTGCATTCTCATTTGTTTGATAATAGGATGTAAATATAGAAATAGTAAGAAAGAAAGTAAGCATGCAACTCAATTAAATTATCATTTTTCGAATACTGTGATTCTTTATTTAAATACCCAATTATACCTTAAGGATGTCGAGTAGTTTTTGCACGCTTTTTCTTTCATCCACCTCAAACCCGCCAAGTTTTTCCATGGCGTCCGTCCACTCATTGTCGTACAACTCTTGGTACCTCTCCCCCAGTTTTATGGCTCTGTTGACGTCACTGAGGTCAGGAATAGCGGTGTTGCCGTCACTAAGTTTTTTCTCCTTCCCCTTACTGTTAAAACAGCAGAATAATAGCGGATGGATCCAATAATGTTAAATGATAAAAATACACAATGATTGGACGACAAATTATTCTAACTTTAATAAATCCATTCTATAGTAATAGGGACAGAGAAGAGTGCTCCTTTATGCAATTAATATACGTATAACACAAATATATTTATATATACAATTTATGGATCAATAGTCTGTAGGGATATATTAATCTGCTGTTTTCTTTAATCGTACGACAGCTACTGTATTCGATATTACATTGGATCAAATAAATTATCAAAACATGATTCTTGTAATTAAATTAAATAAGAGTTCGTGTTATCTACCTAAAATAAATAAAATAAAAAAGTAAACAAAACCTAAAAATATAAAAAAAAATAAAAAAAATAAAAGTGGAATTCCGATTCATCATTTATTCCCAGTGTTATATATGTTTCTAAAATGCAAGGAATCCTTCAGGGCGGCAAAATAGAATAAAAAATAACGATGTTGCGACATTATATGTTTATTACGATAGCGAAATGGAAATAGTATTGATCTGCCATACGCTTTGGAAAAGAAAAAAAAGTTCAGACAAGCAAAACATAACTCAAAAGAAAGTTCTTTCATCACGTAGACTACAATTATACTAAGTATAGCTTGTAAAGTAAAAACAAAACTGTATTGTGTTCACTCTAGTTGGTATCCAGATCCATGTATATAAAATTCATACCAATTTTACTTATTGCTTACCTATTACGTGTATAACCAACCCTCTGTCGTTGAATTATCAGGTAAAAAGACGTAACCTTTTCATATGAAATAGTTTAAATATTTCCAACAGATATTTTTTGTCTTTTTGCTGCTTTCTTTTACATTTTCACAATACAAACGAATACTTATTTGTTGATACCTGTCACATGGTAAACATGAGTCCAAAGAGATCTGATTTATTTCACTGCTGACGTTATCTTGTTTCCGTTTTAAGTCTTCCTTGTATTTATTGTTTTCAGTCTTCAAAATTTGGATGACACCAAGCAATTCGTCGGTCTGTTGGCATTTACTTTCCAGCTTCTTGTTTTCTTTTTGTAGTGTGTCCTTCTCGTTCAGAAGAGCTTCCAAATCTTTCTCCATCTGTTTCATCCGTTTGTTTTCCTGTAGTGTCCAGATAGTTTACCACAATGAGTGTAATTAAGTATAGTTAAATTGTTGACTTAAATATCCTATCTGATGTTTTAGCCAGGTACTTCCTTACTCGTATTGCTAATTCTATCACTGTCTGTTGAATATTTGTCGTAACTTTGTAGCTCTAGTAAATCACCTAAAAGTTGTAAACTGTAACGTAATAAAGAGTTTTATAGTAACATTTCCCCTTTTACTATATATTTGTAAATCGGAAAATATTTAACTTGATCTTTCATTCTCTCGACCTTTAATACCATTAAACTTTAAGTACAAACGTTTATTTGTTTGAATTTCTGCATTGATTAACTAAAGTTGTTAATGCTTCACTACCTCGTATGTATAGGGATTATTTAAATTCACAAGGTGTTTGACTATGCTACATTTTTTACAATGAGATTCCTTACTATTTATTATCTAGTGACTATTTTAATGATATCATACTCGTGTTTATTCTTACAATTTACCTGTTGCATGATAAAACATTAGTTACCTGTTTCTTTCTTTGCTCGTCGCTTTTGATAATTTTCACGAGCTCTTCAGAAAGACACAACGCTGACGTTACGTCAACATTCTTTTGAGCTGAGGGTTCGACCCTATATACAGTATTAAAAAAGGAATACAATTGCACAAGATCATTGCAAAATACCGCTAATAACTAAATATTTTTGCATATGGAAAAATACCTTCATAGACAAAATATAGACTTTATTTAGTGTACAAGAATTTTGAAACAATAATCAATATTCATTACATATGTAATTAACATACTTTATCTATGCTCACACGATACATATACATTCATAGATATATTTAAATCAATCAATAACTTACGTTTATCTGTGATGTACGCATTTATTGAAATCTAAAATTATCGACAGGTTTGAATCCTGATACCAGGGCAGGTGCCGCAAAGATACAAAATTGCAAGTCCTGGAAGTGCCGGGAATATCTGACGTTTCGTGCTATATGTCCTCAGAGTTATGGTGAATATGACGTGGGCCGAACCTACCTCTGACTGCATGTCCGAACTCGCCCGGAAAAAGAGAATTTTTTCTTCAGATACGGATGAGTTTCAAATTTGTTTATTATTTCAATGAAGTGTATGGAAATTCTCTTGTAAACGGTATATACATGTAAATTTACATAATTGTCCACAAATGTCATACAGTCTACAGCGACTATAATAAAAATGGCAGGAACTTGCCCCCGATCTTCCCTACAAAGTAAAATCGATAAAACCGGTTTGTTACTAAATGCCCTTTTCTGTCCGATCAATGAATCGGTCGTCTTGGTGAAAGGCGAGTGCGCTATAACAACTTCGCCAACTGACCTCTCAAAACATTGTTTAAGTTACCTCAGTGTTGGCCTATCAGTTCTCGCGTACCCTCGGTTCAACGGGTACGGCGACGGATACTTCGCGCGTGTTATATGTTCTTCCTGAAGGTTTGACGTCATTCTACAACAACGACATTGTGACGTTTTTCATTTTGAAAAAAAGTTAATACAGATTATGAAACGTAATTCTTATCGTGTTATGACTATGATATATTTTCAAGCACATCTTTTAAATAGTAAAAATCACATAACACAAATCAAGCATTGACGAGGTTTTAAACAGTAGGACCAAAAGTCGACTAGACGATTGGCATAAGGCTTCTCAAAACATACAAGAAAACTATATATAGTTTGACGGATTTTTCTACAATTAGACATTTCATATATATATATATGTATATTCGTTCTGTTTATATTTTGTAGTTATATATATAATAGTGTCCGTTTGATCGGTACAATGAAGATAAATAACCAAACCAGAAGAGAGAGTTGCTAGCGAACAAAATAACTCAATGTGCTGCTTAATTGAACTGTGATAAATAATGCATCATTTATTATAACAAATATCAATATACATGGAAATTCTATATAGATATGCAATGTTTTGTCAAACTATAGAAAACTAACATATATCTATACACTCTATCAAAAAGTACGTCAAGTTGGCATTACTTGGAGCGTTATCAAGTTTAACTATGTCATAAGAGATCCGATGACATTAAAGTTATACAGCTGGCTGGTTCTTTACTAACTATGTGTTGTTTTTCCTATAGCAAGCCATTTATGATCATCCTTCCATCAATCTTACATGTCACAAGCGTATCATTATTTAAACTTGTTATGACAAATATTATAACAACTTCTCTAAATATTAATACTTTCGGTTTGTGTAGGATTAACGTTACATATCTAGCAAGTACACGCACAGACATGATCAATGTATATAACGTACAAACTATTATATCTCACAGATTTACAAGAGTTTCCTTTAGTTTTATATCCCGTAAATTGATAAACACATACTTGTAGAATTAGCCTGAAGCCCTGATAATAATGGCACCTCACCTCTGATCAATCGGTATAACTGCTAGCGTCCAAGGTCGCTGGGAGTATGGGGTATTTGTTCCGGTGTCCTATAAAATTTCCATCCCCGTGAAATACTCATCCGGATGGATATTTTATGCATAAAATACTCATCCGGATGAATATTTAATGCATTAAATACTCATCCCCCCCATAAAATATTCATCCCCCCTAAAAATTATCATTTTTTTTTTTACACAAATACAAACTTTATAGCATTATTACATCATGTTACCTGTAATACATGGTTCCTGTATGTCTATCCAGGTAATTATAATACACAGGGTGTCACCTGTGTTGGGACTGGGACCCTGGGGGCTTATCAATACAGGTGAGAGATAGTTTTATATCCCGTAAATTGATAAACACATACTTGTAGAATTAGCCTGAAGCCCTGATAATAATGGCACCTCACCTCTGATCAATCGGTATAACTGCTAGCGTCCAAGGTCGCTGGGAGTATGGGGTATTTGTTCCGTGTCAAACACACCTGTGTGATCAGTACATTTCTAAATATAGATCTAATCACTCTTACTAATATGACACAAGGGAGATAACACAAAAACCCAGTAGTAAATTAAAAATATGAATTATTTTCCGCGTTGAAAAATCGTCAATGGTTCACGGACATTAATGGTTTCTAAATGAGTTCCAAATTGGTTAGCTTTCCTTTTGTAAGGAGATTAGGAATACTTTTTTTAGAAGTCAAATGGAAGTCAAATGGAACGGGAACGGATAGCATATTCTTTTTAACATATACTCACCCATAATATACGCACTGACAAAAAAGACACATGAGCAGACACTAATCCAACAGAGGCAACAAGAACATTTACATAATTTAAAGAAATATGATGATAAGATGTTTGAATAGGTGTTCCCGGTAAGTTTGACTAACCTGAACCATGTGTGGATTCTGTCATGTTACCTGATAAGGTTTGCGGCAACTTCAGTAGTAAATACTGGCTCAGTACTAAATACTTGTTAAGTACTAAATACTGGCTCCATACTTAAACCTTGCTCAGTACTAAATACTGGATCAGTACTTAATACCGGCTCAGTAGTAAATACTGGCTCAGTACTAAGGTAGCAGTGTACAGTAGCGTAGGGTGGCCATGGGTGATATTTTTATACAATGAATATCCCCTGTTATATACATGTATCAAAATATTTAAAAAAATCAGAACTACAATTGGCATATTTAGATGAAGTAGCCTTCATAATTGTTAAAAAAAATCGGTTTGAGACTACAGTATTGGGCATTTACAAATCTGTGTCTGCACAACATCCACCGAAATGACCTATGCTAAAACGTGAGTATTTCTGGTACCGAATAGGCGATATTTAATTTCAGAAAGGTTTTAAGAAAACAGTTACTATTTGCATTTTTTGGCTCTTTTTGATGTGGTAACCATGGTTTTCACAAGTCCCAAATCTGGGGAAAACAGTTTTTGGAAAGAATTTCTGTTATCTAAACAAAATATTAACAAAACGTAGTTTATAAATATAAATATATATGTAGGTGTGTTGTGCAGGTTGAATCCATGTTTATCTGAGACATGCCTTTTGTTTAAAGGATCAGGCCATTTCTACTGTACTCTGTTACACTGTACCTGAATACTGGCTCAGTACTTAATACTGGCTAAGTACTAAATACTGGCCCAGTAGTAAGTACTGTCTCAGTAGTAAATACCGGCTCAGTTCTAAATACTGGCTTAGTAGTAAGTACTGGCTCAGTATTAAATACTGGCTTAGTACTAAATACTGGCTCAGTGCTATATAGTGTCTCAGTAGTAAATACTGGCTAAGTACTAAATACTGGCTTAGTACTTAATACTGGCTTAGTGCTATATAGTGTCTCAGTAGTAAATGCAGGTTCAGTATTAGATACAAGCTTAGTTGTAAATACCGGCTCAGAACTAAATACTGGCTTAATACTAAATACTGACTAAGTACTAAATACTGGCCCAGTAGTAAATACTGGCTCAGTGCTATATAGTGTCCCAGTAGTAAATACAGGTTCAGTATTAGATACAAGCTTAGATTCTAAATACTGGCTTAGAACAAAATACTGGCTTAATACTAAATACTGCCTTAGTACTAAATACTGGCGTAGTACTAAATACTGGCTCAGTGCTATATAGTGTCTCAGTAGTATTAACTGGCTCAGTACTAAATACTGGCTCAGTAGAAAATACTGGCCCAGTAGTAAGTACTGTCTCGGTAGTATTAACTGGCTCAGTACTAAATACTAATTCAGTACTAAATACCGGCACAATACTAAATTCTGGCTCAGTGCTATATAGTGTCTCAGTAGTAAATACAGGTTCAGTATTAGATACAAGCTCAGTACTAAATACTGGATCAGCACTAACTACTGGCTCAGTAGAAAATACAAGTTCATCACTAAATACTGACGCAGTATAATTGAACATAAAAGCATTGGTAGTTGTTACAGCATGCTAAAAGGAATTAGAATGCGCCACACAGTTGTTTCTTCCTTCGACGACTCATAGGTAACCCTAGGGGTCAGAATGATGGAAATCTAAATTAGTCTAAACTGTTGTTGAAACAGAAGGGTGGTGCTCAAAACGCCTTAATTATATTAATTTTAAATATTAGAGGAGTACTTGTTGATTTGAAATGAATAATGGGTAATCTGTGTATTTTATGAATCATGCCACTACTGCACCATACAGCTGTTTTGACTTTCTATGACTAATCGGTGATGCTAGTGGCCGAAAAGTTAAATTCCAAATGAAAAACAAAAGTTTTTTCTTCAAGGAATTGTTAAGAAGAACTAGTATGATGATTATCGACAAAAATCGACAAAACGGACATAATATAATAATGGGGGAAGAGATGAAGCTATCGATGTTGAACACAAGACAGACGGACGGGTCTTTGAGTTGGTATATAGATACCCTACATATACGGATCAGTACCTTATCATTTCATGTCATCACAGAGTGCAGTTAAGAATGATATAAGCATTGACTGAGTGGACAAGAAAAAGAGATGACAGAATGCCTTGCAGACGGCGATTATGATTCCCTGACTTTTTATTATGAGCAACAGAAAGGGGAAAAGTAAATAAAAGGAACATACCAGGGTTAGACCAACCAAAAGGATCCTTGGCAACGGATCAGCGTGAGAGGTCAGAAACTAAAACTTAAATGATGACGGAAATTTGTGAGTTATTTCGTTCTTTAAAATTTAATGTTCATTACATTTTAGTATTTTTTTCCACAGTAATGAAGAATGACACAAAAAAGTAATCAGACAAACAGGCATTACCAATAACTTTATACACTTCTGTGAACTGAGATTTTATTGTTTCCTTTATCTCTCCTGCTCCTTCTGTTCTCCACCGTTTATCAACCTTTTTCTTCTCTTTCGTTTTGTTATCTTGTCTGTCCGTTATTTTCATACCCATCCTTGATCCGTTTTGTTTACTTCATCCGGAAAGTATTGCAAACAATTTGTATTATATAAGTGCTATCGTTATTTGCCCTACTATATGTATACGACTCCGTATCAGCTTAANGCATTACCAATAACTTTATACACTTCTGTGAACTGAGATTTTATTGTTTCCTTTATCTCTCCTGCTCCTTCTGTTCTCCACCGCTTATCAACCTTTTTCTTCTCTTTCGTTTTGTTATCTTGTCTGTCCGTTATTTTCATACCCATCCTTGATCCGTTTTGTTTACTTCATCCGGAAAGTATTGCAAACAATTTGTATTATATAAGTGCTATCGTTATTTGCCCTACTATATGTATACGGCTCCGTATCAGCTTAAGGGCCTAGGGAGAACTTCATCACGCATTCCACGTACTACAATGATCTTAAATAAAGTTTTTTATCAACTTACTGTGTACGTACCATTGTACGAATAACAAAATTTAAAATAAAGTAGCATACAGTACATATATCCTAGTCTTTATAGAAGATTAGACAAAGGCAACTT